CTTGATTCCTCTGCATTTCACTTCTTTTGAACAATCAAGGCTGATTTTATCAGACTCGGTGTGGGTGTTCTGTTTGACAGGTTTTAATAAGTAATATTTTGATGACTGTAGCAACCAGCTAAAAAATTTTATTCAATTTTTTTGTCTAGAACCACAGAATTCACACTAGTGAAAGTTGGATTTCATGAGCATTGGTGTGTGGCAGTTCAGATCTGTTCATGTGATGATGTTGGGTTAAAAAGGAAGAAGCCATTGGCAATCATTGGGCTTATATTGGAATTAAGTTTAGAAACATTTCATGTTATTCTTCAGAACCCCAGAAATTGTACATGTCCAGTAGAATGTTGCAGGCAGCAAGGGATCTTTTTCATCACAAACAATGTGGTAGCCTCGACCTGTACCATTCAGAAAGAAGCATTTTTAACCATCTATTAATTACTGAAATTCAGCAGGACATCTATGGTGATGATTTCAATTGTTGCACTTATGAATGTAGAGTATTCCAAAGTCTGCCCATGGAACAGTTTCTGCACCACACATGTTGTTTAGTGTTGTGTGCTTTATTATCAAGGGGATCAATATTGATTCCCACAATTAGGTATACCATCAGTAGTCTTTGTATACAGACCAGAGTGTCTTTTGGTGAAGTTTTTGCCTTTATCTTTGGTTCAGAGACATTGTGGGTGTATTTCACACCATTTACTGACACAGTTCTGTTCAGTACTCCATTATTGTGGTCATATAAGAGCTTTTGTGCCTGATTTCATGCTACTTTAACTCTAGAAAACCTTTTGTTTTCTTTCTTAGGTTGTACAGTATGTTGTTTATTACAGACAATGTGGACTTGTACAGAATTATCCACAATCAAGTCCTTGCACCTTATGGACACTCAGTTACTTGGGAACACATAATGGCAGAAATGGGACACACAGGATTGGAAGTTGCACAAAAATTTTGTGGAATGTTTAATTTGAATATTTCACCTGAAGAATATATACAAAAAGTGAAATCCCATTATCCAGAAGTGTTTCCAGGTGTGAAGTTAATGAGAGGTATTTTTTAACTGCAAATATCCTGTACTAATTAGTTAATAATGCTAGAATTTAGTGAGTACAGTATCAGAAAAAGGAAAAAATCTTAGTAGAGCACTGTATTGTAGCTACATTAGCCCACTCAGTTTGGCATTGTCATCTATTTCTCTAATGCTGTAATAGCTTAAATTCTGCTGCTAAAGTCAATGAAGAATGACCTAGACATACACTGAGGTGGTGGGGGAATATTTCTTACTACTGAATCTGAAATATTGCCCATTTTTCTCAGCACTGGTTATTTTTCACCAATTTAACACAATTAAACATAAAAATTGGTGTTACCCGGTATACGGTCCACTTGAATGAAGATCTGGACATGGGCGTAGAACTTTTGTTGTGAGTACAGCCTGTACTTCCAAGCATCCTAAATAGGTTTGTTCCTGCCATGACTCAAGAATAGGTCAGCCACATGAAAGATCGCTGCTTAAATCTTAGCCACTGATGTTCTTTATGAAATTAAGTGTTTAGGTCACAGAAACAACACCTGAAGCATTTGTTGAATCATACGAGTTGAATTGGCATCATGTAAGTGAATCATATACTGCTCAATTAGTATACAGTAATTCGAAACAAGAATGTGTGGACAGAATAAGGGTAACTACAGTTAACATCCACTTTTTATACCCAGTGACTGCCACATGTGGTGTTGGATTATTCATGGGGAGGGAGCCTGTGGCTTGTCAAGGATGTCTTCAGTTTTCCTGATTATATTTTATCAGCTTATTTTAAAAGATAGCTGTTTTTGCTGTCACCTCTTTAGTAGGTAGCCTTCCATAGGTACTGTATTTTATTCTCTGGGTGAAAAAGGGCATTTTTGTATCTGTATCAGGTATGATGAGGGGATGGAGGAGAATAATTGAGTGAAGAGATGCATGAGTTTGAATGTGGAGGGAAGAGAACTAAGCATAGGGTAAACTGTGCAGCTTGGAGAGCTGCTATCAGATAATCACAGCTAACACACAAATGTGGAAAATGGCTGTAAAATGGTGATGATGATGAACCAGTGTGGCATAATGCCCAGAGGTGGATTTTATTGCATCAGACACTTGGCTGCTATTTAGGAGATCTTTCAAGTACTGAAGTCCCTTTTTACCACTTCCTGACATCATTTGGTTCATTGAAGAATTGTCTTTGCCTATTTGTCTATTTTTTTCTAGTACATTGCAATATTGAGTGTAAGAATGGCACTACACTTGTATTCTTCTTTACATAATCAGCTTCATTTCCACCATTCATATAATCTTTTATACAATTGTGGATCACATTTTCTTGACACTTGTGGCAGTACAGTACTGTATCCACACCTACTTGAGGCCATATAGGTAATGGCATTAGAACACCTGTACAGTACTATTGATATTGTATCTATTTGCTGTACAATATTCAGATTTTTATTTGTTTAATAGTGTTTACATATAATGATGTAGTTAACATTCACCAGTTATAAACCAATCGCATACAGGATCCACAAGTACTGTAGCTGCCACTTATAACAATGTACTGTACTTAATTTACTTGCCATGTGTGTGTGAAGGAATTTGATATGCATCTGTACCTAACCTAAAATACTGTTGGCTTGTTTCATCAGCTCCTCTTCATGGCTCTCTGCAAGAAATTACATTGTTGGTGTGTTGTAACCCATGATCCTGTCTTCTCCACCACCACCTGTCATCATTGTTGGTGTTGTTACCCATGATCCTGTCTTCTCCACCACCACCTGTCATCATTGTTGGTGTGTTGTAACCCATGATCCTGTCTTCTCCACCACCACCTGTCATCATTGTTGGTGTGTTGTAACCCATGATCCTGTCTTCTCCACCACCACCTGTCATCATTGTTGGTGTGTTGTCACCCATGATCCTGTCTTCTCCACCACCACCACCTGTCATCATTGTTGGTGTGTTGTAACCCATGATCTGTCTTCCACCACCACCTGTCATCATTGTTGGTGTGTTGTTACCCATGATCCTGTCTTCTCCACCACCACCACCTGTCATCATTGTTGGTGTGTTGTAACCCATGATCCTGTCTTCTCCACCACATCATTGTGTTGTTACCCATGATCCTGTCTTCTCCACCACCACCTGTCATCATTGTTGGTGTTGTTACCCATGATCCTGTCTTCTCCACCACCACCTGTCATCATTGTTGGTGTGTTGTACCCATGATCCTGTCTTCTCCACCACCACCTGTCATCATTGTTGGTGTGTTGTTACCCATTGTTCATCCCATGATCCTGTCTTCTCCACCACCACCTGTCATCATTGTTGGTGTGTTGTTACCCATGATCCTGTCTTCTCCACCACCACCTGTCATCATTGTTGGTGTGTTGTTACCCATGATCCTGTCTTCTCCACCACCACCTGTCATCATTGTTGGTGTGTTGTTACCCATGATCCTGTCTTCTCCACCACCACCTGTCATCTCATTCTGCTGCTGTCCTTTAAAATTATTCTTTATTTAATTTTCTTTTCTTCTCCATTTCATTTTTTCACTGTTATTTATTTATTTATTTTTTTTAGATATACTTAAAACTTAAACTCTCTATATATTCTTACTTGATCTTTTAACATTATCACATAGCATTGATTACAAGCTTCACGGTGGCCAGTATAAAAGATTACTCCTCATACTTGGTCCTGAATTTTCATATTAAAACTGTAGTGTTGGTTATATTAAATAGGTTTTGCTTGGGGAAGGTCAGTTGGAGGTTTGATTTGATTAAGTTAGGGTTAGGTTAGTATAGGTCAGGTAAGGCTACTTTAGATTAGGTTAGGGATGGATTAGATCAGGTTTGCTGGAATTAAGTTAGTTTGGTTTAGATTAGATCAGGTAAATGTTAACACCCTCACTATCAAACAAGACAGTACTGTATTTGTGTACCGTCTCCCCACCGTTCTAGGTATATACTGTACTGCCAGTAATGTTCATCCTCATTCTTTTCTCTCTTGTTCTTTCACAAATAAATACAGGTAATAGGTATACTACAATCTAATCTCTCTCTCTCTCTCTCTCTCTTTGTTCTTCTCGTGATATTCCTTTGTGTTTTTTTTTTATCTCTTATTCTCTCCCACATGTTAGTGATCAGTGCTATGGTATGAATCAACCACCAGCCAAACACTCGGGACCCAATGAAACTGATGCTAGAACAGTAATTTCATGTGTATTTGATAGAAATTTAATTTAACCTTATAAAGATTAACCTTATTTTATCTCTCAGTATGAAGTGTGTGCTGTACCTGTATCTCTTAATAATTAACGGTTGATGACGTTTATTATAATAACAACTAAATTATCTTTGTTCACTTCAGAGTTATTGTTCACTTCAGAGTACAGTTGGTGTTTGTTTAATTATTTTAATAGCCTTGATCCCTAACATATAGTCAAAACCTCTTTGATACTTCTATTTACACAGTTAACAAAAACCTTACTTGTGCTGTTTTATTACGACACTGATTTTGAACCAGGCATGATCTTACTGTTGCTTGTACTGGACTGTATAAAGGTAATGTTTGCTTGGCTTGTATTAATGCTGCCCATGCTGACTGTAATCATGACTAAATGCTGTTATTGTATTATGAGGCTTTACATGTTTTTGATTGCTTAGATGTTTGGAATTTGTATTTTATTTGAATTTTTGGGAATATGAAAATATGTAAATGATTCAAGTTTTAATTATTGATCAGTATATAGTACGGCATAACATTATCCCTAGATAAGTCTCGTTAAGATTATATGACTACTGTACTGTATATTCATGACCATATTCTGACGTTTGTTTACCAATTGATTTATAAAACAGTAGATCATATTGGTTAATGTTAAAAGTCATTCCAGTTTAGCATCAATATTTGAACCAACTGTATTTTGAGAATTGGTGGAATTAACATAAAGCTTTAATCTCCCCAGGTGCTGAGAAGCTAGTTCGCCATCTTCACAAGCACAACATTCCCATAGCCATTGCTTCAGGTGGGGCTCAAGATAGTTTTGAACTGAAAACAACAAATCACAAGGAATTTGTGTCACTGTTCAGTCATGTGGTATTAGCTTCCACAGACCCAGAAGTTGAAAATGGGAAGCCAGCTCCTGATGTGTTTCTCATATGTGCCAAGAGGTTCCCTGACAGCCCAAACCCAGATCAGGTAGGTACAGTACAGTGCCTGAATTAAAATTTTAAAGATTAGTTTTGTTATGCTGTAAGGTAGTCCCTCTCCTTCATGTATGTTAGAAATATTGCTTTGGTAGAAAATAAATCAATAAATTACCTACACTCTTCTTACCCATGTACTCTTTACTCATCTCCTCTCACTCATGTTGTTTATTGCTACTCCAAAATTAAGGAGAACAATCAAAACCGAATAGGTACCCAAGGTAAACACCATGCAGACACTGAGAATACTCAAAGTGTGTGTTTAAAATACTATACTGCTGCCATATATTTATTTTTCATACTTACTCCCTCTGGTCTTACAGTTCTGGCATGATATTGGGGAAAAACATGTATTTCTGTGACCTAAAGGAGTTAAGGTTAACTGCAGGATTACATGTACTAGTGCCAAATTGTGAATGAATAATCAGGGAAAGGATGCTACAATGGGACCATATTGTTCTGTATACTGTACATATACAGTTTAATCATCAAGAGAGATATGCTTACATTTTACAGTGAATGGTAACAACAGAAGTGATCTTTCTCCTCCAGTGTCTGGTGTTTGAGGATGCTCCAAATGGTGTGGAAGCAGGAGTTAAAGCTGGTATGCAGGTGGTGATGGTTCCTGATCCTCGCTTGGCTCAAGAAAAGACAAAAGGTTCTTCACAAGTCTTGAAATCTCTTGAAGACTTCAAGCCAGAATTATTTGGTCTACCCACTTATGATGACTAACTTTCAGTTGTTGGTATGACATGTCTCAAGTTTCTGTGTTCAGATAGGTTCTGTGTGTGTTTCGTTTACTTCCATTGTATAATAAAGTGGTCCATTCGAAAGTTGAGAATTAACAAATTACAGGTAAGTGGGTAATATTTGATTACCTCAATGAATAGCAACCCTGCTAAGAGGGCAGTGGTGTATAAAGGGGGGAGGCATTGACTCCCCTCTCCAGAGACTCATATACAGTACACCACTGTAAGAGGGCATTTGGAAGTCCTACACATATTGTCCAGTTCCCACTCTGAAAAAGTGGCTTTGCAATAGGAATGCCATCCAGTTGTATTAATCAATCAGAGTACTGTACCTTCCTCAGGCTGTTTTTACCATCCTCTGAGGTTTTGTATCTCTCGTGGGACCCAGTTTATAATTTAATTTATCCATTTGTACAAGTTCCCCTAAATTTATGTTTGTAGTTGTACTGTACATATTTGTTTATGGGAAATTAATATTTGCATCCTCTCATTACAGAGATGAACTGAGGAAACTCCTTAAGCAAGAAAGTACTAAGTTTTTACAGAAGTCATCTTCATATACAGACAGGAAATCCTTCATCAAAACTACAAAGAAATTTTTGCAGTGTGTAGCTGTATTACCTCCTTCCTCCATGTGTCGTATTACCTCCTTCCTCCCTGTGTCTCCTTTAAAGATACAGTACATCCATCCTGTTTACCTTTTAGATTTATGCCTGGAAAAGTAGGTGAGATTTGACCACCATTTGTTTGCTGGTAGAAGTATGTTAACAGTGCCATTAATTATTAAAGAACAGTACCCTATATACTAAAAATTATGCAGCAACTATGGACAAGTAAAATTATGTTGCTAATGAAAGACAAATCCTTTTACCAAGTTGAAGAGAGGAGGACTGAACTGCCTTTAGGTTGTTATTTTTGTTACAGGTAATATATTTTGAGAGGTTGTCTTAATTATATAAAATAGAATTGTAAATGGTTACTGTATTGTGAAATTAACTTAAAAAATTTGTAGAAAATATCAGTACAGTAAATGCAATTCTCAGATATAGAGAGGGATGGTGTCACATTGTAAATGAGAAACAGAAGAGATAACAGTCTTGACCACATAAGTTTATTATAAAAAATTTCAAGTTGTGTTCATTTTCTTCATATCAGAGGACAAGCATTTTCAGGATAGTGTTTGTACAATAATCTTAAATAATAACAATCAGTTTTATAACTCATCAAGTTATGGCAGCTAATGTGCTATGCATTCTCTAAAAGGAAATTACAGGGTATTTCTTTGTTCTAAATAATTTGTGTTTATTCTGTTACCCAGTGCTATATGTGCAATTGTCTGAATTCAATGAGCTAATTATTTTCCTCTTGAAAAGTAGGGTGGCATTTGCAAACTCTTATCTGGAAACTTTCGATATGGTACCTCTGCTTGCTAGTACAGTACAGGTTGACAATCCCTTATCCAAAATCCTTGGGACTAGAGGCATTTCGGATTTCGGAATTTTTCGGTTTTCAGAATGGTTATTTTTTTTTTAGCCCACCTGGGCACAAGTCACTGACCACATTGGGGCCTGGGGGGGGGGAGAATATAATAAAAATTAAAATAATAATAATAATAATTCATAGGTTTAGGTCGTGTTTCTCACTTTTTATCTTTTTTCATTCTTGTATATTTCTTTATTATTATTATTATTATTTTATTGTTACAGTATTATTGTTATTATTATTATTATTATTATAAATTTTAATATTATTATTATTGTTACCATTATTATTTTATTTTGGTGTATTTTTTAATTAAAAATTCTATTTACTATGAATAATTAGTATTATTATAATTATTATAATTAGTATTACTATTACATTTTCGCCCCCCAGGCCCTGATGTGGGTCAGTGATCTATGCCTGGGTGGGCTAATCCCTGTTTAAAAAAAAAAAAAAATTGCTCCACAAAAAACTTTCGGTTTTCGGAATTTCGGATAAAGGGTTGTCAACCTATAGTAGAGATCCAGCAGTATTTCTGCTTACTGTAGGGTGGAGACCCAGTGTAATTTTGCTCCCTGTACAGTAGAGGCTCAGTAGTACTTTTACTTATTTTAAAGTTGAGGCCATGTAGTTCCTATTTTTATTGTACAGTAGAGGCCCTGCATTATCTCTGCTTATCCCTGGTGTTCAATAGGGTGTGTATGGAAGTTACACCTATGCCCAACCCTCCTTCCTCTCTGTGAGAGGAGATATCCATGGATATGTGCCATTGTCCATTGCTCTCACTCTCATATTTGGTAATAGAGTGGCTTCTCCAGTACCTTCTCCTCTATGATGGGAACATGGATAGAGAAGGTGCCCACTAGTAATTAAAATTGTGAATGTTGAAATGCTGTATTTATGGGTCTCCTGTTTATATGTATACAGTACATTGTACTGATAGAAATTGAGGAAAATAAAAATGTTTTATTGCACATCTAACCAAGAATAGTTCAGAGACAGCTGTTGATAACTGTATTATAAAAAAAATTCAGGTTGTTTAAATGCACTTTATTTTGTGTTTAGTGAAGTATTGGAGGTTGACAAGTTTTATTAATAATCACCCCCCCCTATTTTTTAACCCTAGAAATTCTGGAAGACTTTATTAATATGAATTTTTCTTTCATAACTCCAAACTTGTTCCATACTTCTGTTTTCAGAATTTATTAATGGGAATTTCCATAACTTAAGGGATACCTGTACCCAAGCATTCTCAAGGACAGATAACAAAGCTTTGGATCACCATGTTGAAGGAATGGCTTCACAACATAACTGAACTTCACCTAAAAACCCAACAAAGAATTATTCTTTTAGAAGATTACCATATCATGTGACTTTAGCACCGATTGATTCTTGGCTCTGTGTGGAGGACAGCTGGTGGGATAGACTTTTTCGGAGTGAGAGTTGTGAACTTTTGGAACAACCTGCCAGAGTGTTGTGACGGCACCGAGTGTGAGCTCTTTCAAGACCAGACTGGATATGCACTGGATCAGGTTCAGATACATTCAGGAGCCAGTGCATGCCCAGTACTTGCCAACAGTGCGTAACAGATACGTAACCGTTCGCCCAAGCGGCTAATGAGTCGATCAGTGGTGAAGAGGATAAAGGTAAAAGTAAAAGTAAGACAGGTTCACTCAGGCTATTAGGTGATGGTTACACCTCTTCTACAACCTGTCAGCTCCCTTCCTTCATGCTTCGTAGCTGGATGGGTACCTGCCCCTCTTCCCTATCCATGTCCCTCCCCTTCCCCCTCTCCCTCTGGTTCACCTGTGTTTCCCTCTTCTCTGATTACAATCCCTGGTTCTGTTGTTTGAAGTATCTTGATTAAATTTTGATTATTTTTCGTGGGTGAAAATCTCTTGTGGTGTTTGTGCCAATTGAAGGTCAAATAAATTCCAACCTGACCTGACCTACTCTAACCTAACTTGAACTAACCTGACCTGACCTATTCTAACCTGACCTGACCTATTCTAACCTGACCTGACCTGACCTACTCTAACCTGGGAATGACATTACAGTCATTGGTGATGATGTCACAGCAGTTGGTGATGACATTGTGACAGTGCCATGATTTTAGAGTAAAAGTCCAGCCAAAAAGCCGCATGTTCCCACTCAAACTGACCAATGGCTGTGTGAAGGCCTAAAGCCTAAACCAATAGAGACAGCCTGTGAGACGTGACATCATGAACAGGTGGCATCCTGTAGGCCGCCTTTGTTTTAAGACAGAGTCTGTGTTTTGGAGGTGTTGAGTGTGGACGTGTGTGTGGGGGTCGGCAGGTTGTCAGCATAGCGATGTCTCAGGAAGTGCACTTAAGGTTTTATTTATTTAATGAAATGTATTGCAAATTCATGTGAACCCTGTTTAACTAGCTAGGAAAATAGGTTTATTGTATTGAAGTGTAATGGTCAATCTTTATAGAAAGTGTTCAGTAAATACAGTGACCGTAAAGAAGTGTCATAATTCATCCCTTCCCTTATTGAGAAAAGTAGATTTATTGGAAGTGTCTTGGTGGTCAACAGTAATACAGGGAGTCCTGAGTTATAACACGCCTATATTACAAATAGTGACAAGCAGTGTATATATTTATTAAAAATATCTGTTCCAACATGCCTAACCACTCACCACGCCTACCAAATGTAGCTTTAACGAATATTGATTTTGTGTTTGATAAATAATAAGTGTTAGAAAGTGATAAAAAATTCTTCTTTTGAGTTTACTGAGAGAACCTTGAGGTTGAATTTGATGTTAATGTGTTTTGTTGCTTATCATACTGGTTGAGGAATATACTTTGAGATGAAATAATTTAAGTGACCAACGATGTGGGGGACAGGGTATAACATAGGTTGTGTTCTTGCTTTATTCAGCTGTATGCAGGCACTGGAGTTAATTAAATGTGGTTCACTTGATTCTTTACTTCCTTGTACCCATCCATCTGTCACTGGAGGGACCCCTTTAAGGTTAATGTATTAGTTAAGGAGGGAATGGAAAGAGATATTTTCCAAGTTAAATTTATTCAACAAAGACGTGATGTGAACTTATGTGTGTTCATCCTATTTCTAACTAGAGATACTGTGGGGGAAGGGAAATCACTATAAACCTGTACGACTACAGTTAGAAACATTAAATCCACATTACCGTGCCCAGTATGATCGTCGTCGGCCCACAAAGAAACCTTCCACACTATATCACACCCAATGTTAAACTGAGTCCGTACATCTAACATTGTTCATTAGCTGCCGGGAGCACATTATTAGTGTCCAATCAGTGCCCGTTTTTCAAAGATTTTTTGGCCCCCTTTTTTTTCACCGATTGGCTAATTAATTATTAATATGGGCGTAGTTACGTCAGTTACTGGGCAGAGCTATCTTCATGGCACTTGATATAGGGCGGCCTCTGGTTTCCCTTTATAGGGTGATGAATTTGGATCATTTGGTCTGACAGGCACTACCTGTATAAACTTCCCGGTCAGTTCTCACGTTCCCCTTACAACAGTCGGCTGGCCGGCTTTCGTGGGCGTCCCCTTTATTACGGTGGCAGGCAACCCTCTTCTCAACCTTGCCACCCAGTATCTCCCCCCTCCCCCCACCAAAAAAAAGGGGGGGGGGTGGAAGTGTTTTGGTTGTGTTATCTATCCATTAAGTGTTTCGGAATATTTGGTTGAGAGAAGGAAGAGAAAGTTAGAGGCGAGATTTTTTTGTCTTCGTTTGGATTCAGTTAAATGGTAATTTTTTTAAGCTTACACTTGTTCAGCATGTAAACAGGCAGAGCCAGGTATACAAACATAGGTAAATATTAAGCTGATTCAGCAAAGGATAGACCAAGAAAGCAGTTGAGAAGCTTATTTCCCAAGGGTCGTCAACAGGTATTGTCGTAAAGGCTAATTTATAAACTTTATTCATATGTATTTGTATTAGTAAAGAAATAACATTTACTCAAGGCACCGTATCCACACACACACACACACACACACACAGTAAAGCAACAATAGGATGGCATCACATTACGAGTTGTCGCAACTTTATACTGAGCTCAGTGGCAGCGCTCACACTCTTGCCTAGAAATCACAAATTTTGCCAAATGACTAACACACACACACACACACACATGACTGGAGCATAGTACCTCAGTTCTTTAGCCTCAAGAATTACATGAAAGTTTGGTGGTCTTTATGGTTTTGTTTATTTTGAGCAAAATTGAGGAGTCTCTTTGGATGAATTAATTTATGAAGGATTGAAGGTGCAGGTAAGTTGCAGTGATGGTGTGCGACTGGAAGGAATGTTAATAAATCTTTGAAGGAACTAAACAGTATTGTTCTTGGAGGAGAAACTCGGCTCACGAGACAGGTTCATTTTGTCTTTGAGTTAGTGACATTATTTACACAGGAAGAGCAAGAGGAAACATTCACTTTTTTCATCTACACTGCAACACAGAAGTAATCCTTACGAAGATAATATAAAAACTGGATTAGTGGTGAAAATCGCATTAGTGGTCATATTACGAGAATAGCTTATTTGTATGGAATTATCAAGTCCAGCCTAGTACAAAAATGGACTGAGAAAATATCAAACATTAATTGCCATATTTCAATGTTATAATAAAAAGAATATACAAAACACAACTTTCATAACTCAATACAGGTTGACAATCCCTTATCCGAAATCCTTGGGGCCAGAGGCACTTCGGATTTTGGAATTTTTCGGTTTTTAGAATGGTTAGTTTTTTTTTTTTTTAGCCCACCCGGGCACAAGTCACTGATCCACATGGGGCCTTGGGGGCGAAAATATAATAATAATAATAATAATTCATAGGTCTAGGTCATGTTTCTCACTTTTTATCTTTTTTCATTCTTGTATTTCTTTATTATTTTATTAATGCAGTATTATTGTTATTATTATTATAAATTTTATTATTATTATTATTATCATTATTATTTTATTTTGGTGTATTTTTTAATTAAAAATTGTATTTACTATAATTATTATTATTATAATTAGTATTACTATTACATTTTCGCCCCCCAGGCCCCGACGTGGGTCAGTGATCTATGCCTGGGTGGGCTAATCCCTGTTAAAAAAAAAAAAAAAAAAAAAAAAAAATTGCTCCACAAAAAAACTTTACGTTTTCAGAGCTTTTCGGTTTTCGGAATTTCGGATAAAGGGTTGTCAACCTGTAATAATTTTAAGCTGCACCACCGAAAGCTGTGGCCTGTCGCACCCACCATCACCCAACACTTCCTCAACAGCCTCCCTCCCCCACTTCTTGGCTTCAGGGTGTTTATGAAGTCCCTTGCTGTGTGTGTTTACAAAGTTCTTTGAGGAAGTGACACACATCCAAAAGACCACTATGTATTTATCATCTATGAACAAAACTGTATTCCTACATGATAATGATGCGTTTTTTTTTACAATTGTCACCTGTAAGCCACAGCGCCTATAGGTGCATACAATTATAAAATTAATGGTATACTGATATGTGAGGGTGTAAATTCCTTAAGGAATTCTAAACACAATCATCAAGGGACTTTGTAAACGCCTTGTACCGTGGCTCGCTCTGGAATATTGTATATTTCTGTTGAGGGAGTGTGTAGATTATAATCCAGATTGCGAATTATCTCCACGTGTGTGTGTGCGTTCTTTGCAATATATATACGCCAGTGACTACGAGTATAATCTAAGTACTGTGTAGTGGATTTCTCCCCTACAAACGCTGTTTGTCGCTGATTAGCCGACCCCACCAATTCCCCAGTGTATGCCTCGTGGTCGAGGTCAACCAGCGCCGCCATACATCACAGAGCGGGGGTCAGCTACTAAGCCACGCCTACCCCCGCTATTTAAGACCTGACCTCGTGGTGACCTGTCCTCTTTCTACCTACAGCCGCAGCCAGCAACACCTCCTCCTCCGCCGCTGCCTGGCGGTCCTCTCTCCAGCCGGCGAGCATGGCGACCCACAGGCTGGTCCTCCTCTGGGCACCCTCACCAACCAGCTCTCTCTACATCACGCTTGTAACCATGCTGCCTTCCCAGCACCAAGCTGCATTGTACATCCAATACAACATGTATATAGAGAGCACATTGTGAGTTTCCTTGCTCCATTCCTTCCTGAGTGTGAACCAAACATCTCATACCCCACAACTGTATTAATGTACCATAATGGCTCATTAAAACTCCGGTATAAAAATGGTATCTAAATTACACTGTGACTGCCGTAACTAGACGATATCTATTAATACCAGTAACGAAGAAATTTTAGCGGATGCATTCCTGAGTATCACGGCACAGGTCGTTGATTAACACGGACGACTGAGCCTCCACTTGCTGGAGCGTGAAGGTGGAACACGAGTATGATCCGCCGGAACCCCCACCACTACCATCACCTATACCTCCACCAACTTCCATGCAGTATAAACTTTAAAGTATGAGACCAGTGAATATTTTGTATTTTATTTTGGAATACCTCTTCTATGTAATTCCTCACTGAATCGTTTTTTATTACTGTGTTCCATCATTTTCCTGACTTGCTGCTACAGTAGTATATATATATATATATATATATATATATATATATATATATATATATATATATATATATATATATATATATATATCAGCGGTGATAGTCGGTGACGCAACAGAGAGAGTGAGAAGGCCGCAATACAGCTCACCACACCAAGCTACACGTGTCAGTTCTCACATATAGAAAGAAATTCCGAAATTCTAAAGTTAGTGACAAATAAACTGGGCATTTTCGCAAGGTTTTCGTGTATATTTAGATAACCCCCACTTCATATTATATTAATATTTATTAAACGTGTGTACTTGTGTACATGTTTTCATTAGTATTATGTCCATCTTTGCTGAGCATGCAAAAAACAGGAAAATGTACAGCTTGAATCAGTTTAGCAAGCAAATAAGAAAAGGTGTTATAAATATATACCCTTAAAATATTAAAGTTTGTAAATGTTTCTCTTGATAGTCCGTATTATATTAAATTTGGCGCTGAGACACGAGAGCTAAATCATATAGTTGTTTCAAATTAGAACATAATATTAAAACAATAGACATTTATTTCATAATAATAATAAGTATTTTTCGAAATTAATAATTGATAAGAGTAATATTTTAATAAATTTATATTTTAATGTTACCATTAAGATTTTACAATAGTGCTAGTTTGAAAACTTAGTCGCCACGTACTTCCGAGTGATATTGGATGCTGGTTTTACTTTGGTAAACTTTTACCACGTATATCATCAAATTTCAAATACTGTAATGAAATGTTAAAAAATTATATAAGACTATATATAAAATATAGATATTAATTTGTTATATAGTAATATAAGGAATAGTTGTGCTATATGAAAAGAATGTTTTAAGATAAGAAATAATCCCGAGTAAAAGTTAGTGTCTCGTGTAGCAGCAGACCTCAGTGAAAGGTGACAGTCGCGGCACAACAACCAGGCGGCGAGCAGTCATGGCGCTCAAAGGTGTGCGCAAGTCTACCAAGAACCCTCCCATCCTGAGCCATGAATTTGTTATCCAGAATCATGCGGACATCGTATCATGTGTGGCCATGATATTTGTTCTGGGGTTAATGTTCCAGGTAAAGTGTAATGCGTCTCTATTCTCGCCTGGGAGGCTACGAGGACCACTAGTCCTATGTACAAAATTTTGTTAGTCTTCTGAGTAATTGTGGATCTTGAGTATGTTAATATAGGTAAAGCACCCTGGTGAATAAATTAGGTGTGTGTTAGGTCATGAGCATTAGTTGTAGTGAATGTGTGCATATTGACTTGACAGCTCCTAGTGACAGGTCTTCACCCTGGTAGAAGCTGTCAACATATGTGAGGCACTGCCTGTTAGAGTATATCTTGAGGTGGCACTAAAACATGCCAGAATTATCCACATGACCGCTGGAATTCTTGTAGGTGGCCAGAACTGTAAAGATTAACTTGTCGGGCTGTCAGTGAATGAATAGACTTAACAGCTAGGCAGTGGATATTTTGCCGTGACCTGCCAAGTTCCTACTAATGCTATTTTACCGTGAGTGCTCACTAGTTGGTTAATTGTCCATTACCGGTAAACAACGCGAGAAATATAATTAACCTTTTCTGGTGGTTTTGGCATTTTTGCCGTGTGTAGGTATAAGCATACCTAACCTTATTTCTGTTGTGCATAGAAATTTATTATAAAAGAGACGACATTTACTAGAACCTAATTGAACTTGACCTAACCAACCAAAGAAACCTACCTAACCTTGCCTAACTTCCAAGCCGGGGGGCGAACCCCCCCCTGTCATATTTAACAAAGTACTGTTCTTGGACAATCAGAGCGCACTCACGGTAAAATAGCGGTAATAGAAACTTAGCCAATCACGGCAAAATATCCACTGCGTAATAGCAAATGTTTTTTCTTTGGCACTCTGACGGGAACATATTAATGCATAGAATGCAAGCTAACAGTTTATGATACCGACTCATAAGAAGCAACTTTAGGAAAATTTTCTATAAAGTAAACTTCTGTATTACCTTTTGAATATCAATAAAATCCTTGAGGAATTGACTCTTTCCTATTTTCTTTTACCGTTTTTTTTAATAGTGCGTACTGTCTGTGAGTGTCATATACCTCTTCCTGTTGTTGACATCGTAACTTAACCTAGAGTAATTCACTTCCCTCCAAGAATAGGCAAGTTACAATAAATCATCTCCATCACTGCGGAGAGAAGCAGCGCCGCTGATAAGGCAAAATTGGCAAACTAATAATATAAAAATTTCTGGAATCATTGTTATTTGTTGGTACAGTATAACACTATTATAAAAATTGTTGGTCAATTCGTAGTTTTGACCAACCGTTGCTGTTGAGTTGGGCAATGTCTTCAAAGATTGAGACAATTTTTAAGACCCTTTCCTTCTCAGATGTTTCCCCTTTAATTGACCAAAAGTTACCTAACTTAACCTCCTAACCGGAGGCTTGGATCCCCTGGTATATTTAAGTCATTTGCAAGGGAAATGTCATAGAAGAAAAGTGTCAAAATTATCTTGAAGACATTGCTCAACTCAACCCATGATTGGTTGAAGCTACAGATTAACCAAAGTGTTAAAATTTTACATAAGTTTGCGGTTAGTTTTTTGCATTTAACCAAAGCGTTTAGTGTCCATGAAGTGTCTCGTATTATTAGCATAAACAAGTGTTGGGGGGGGGGGGTCCAGGTAGCTCCTCGCATTGACTTTGATTCATATTCAGGATGAAAACATTGGATAAATTAATGTAGGAAAGTTTCAATACCTTTTGTTATATTACTGATATTCAAGAAGTTGTTCGGGAAATGGTACTTAAAGGAATGAAAACGGCAGAACTTCACTTGATGTCTGTATCTGGGAAAACCAGAGTCCATGAACTGCAGATCAGCAAATAAATATTTAAAAATATTCCTAACCTAACCTGTGAAAATCCTAAAACCATAAAGCACTTACCTTATTCTTATTTTTGGTATGGTAAGAACTTTAAAGGTTTTTTTGCTGATTTGCAGTCCATGGCCTCTGCTTTTCCCTGCTGCATCTATCAAGTCAAGTATTGCCATGAAAACAAACCACCACTGAACTATGATTTTAGGAGGAAGGAGCCACTGGGTGATGAATAAATCTTAAGTTTGGCTTTACACATTGGTTCTTTCCTGTAGAAATAACAGTTCTGTGATGACTTTTGTCAAGTTGCCAAGGGCATATACAGTAGGTACAGTAATCATTAGCTAATAAATTCAAATAAATCTTTTCATTGTCATTCCACTGTACTTGTTTTAGCTTATGTTTCAGGTTTTGTGGCAGTGTATATACTAGTTTAGAAACACAAACCTTTATCCTAAGAAGCGATTTCTTTCAGGCTACAGCACCTATGGCATCAGTGTTCATTGCAGTACAGCACAATGCTTCAGATATGGAAACTGCAGAGGCCCCCATGACCTACACATATGGTAGTAGGGATACAGCAGCAGTCTTCTTTTACTGCCTCATATCAATAGTGATGCATGCCATCATCCAGGAGTATGTCCTTGATGTAAGTACACTTTTATGTACACAATGGTTTTAAAGTAAATTTATATCCTTGCGTCGTTACTTTCATGAATTATCTCGGCACAAATAGTGCCTGTTCATATCCAGCAGACCTCTGTTAACCTTAAGTTATGTGGATGTAATTTTTTCCCCATAATTTGGTGAGTAGTCACATTTAATGACTTGATGTGATACAAACTGATGAAGTTTCCTTATCACTGACATTGTCGTAATAAGCTATAAGAAATGACCTCTAGGCAAGTAATTAACCACCACGAGTATATATAAAAAAAGGTAAACAAACCATTTTTATTGATTATGATCCATTAACAAATGTAGTTGATCCACTGGAAGATCTGCCCCTAATGCCATTTCATAATTTGAAGTTGAAGAGCTGTAAGTTGACTGACTGACTGACTAGCTTCAAAATAAGCTAGTTTCCTCACTTCAGGTAACAAAGTGAAAAGTTGATTCAGATATCATCAATAATTTTGAATTTATGGACTGGTAAGTTAAGAGAACCAAATATTTGTTTGTATCATTAGTTTCTAGTTGATTTTTTTTTTATTTAGCTCAGGAGTCTTTTAAAATATTTGAGGGCACAATCAGGGTACAAATTGTTTTAATCATACTGTTGGGAAGTAGGGTCAATGTTGTGTTCTATGTTAACACTATTACAGTACAGGTTATCATTGTCATCACCATTTTACAACCATTTCCACATTTGCTTGGGGTAGCTGTGATTACTTAATGGCATGGTGTTCCAGGTTTTATGGCAGGAGGCTCTTCATATCCCCAACCTACTTCTCCAGAGTGATAATTGGGCATTATATGTAGGACTTACAAGTACAGTAGCCTCTTAGCTGGTTTGGTAGGGATCCAAGAAAACAAATAGAAAATGTGCTTGTGTTTACAGTGAGTATGGTTACTTGAGAGCTAAAGTGTATTTTAGGATTAGTAAATTTAGTCATCTGTAACTAATTTTTTACTCGGGTTGTTAGCCAGATGTCACTTTTTAAGGCGGCGAACCGTCAACAAAAATTTAGGGTTTTTAACCCCTTGTGTATGGACTCTGCTCTTGAACTGAATAAATCATCTGGCATTAGCCAAATAAAATATTAAGAGGTATCCCCATAGCGAAGGAGTTGAGCAAAGTAGACACACTGGCATCAGTATTCTGAAGAGTTGAGAGATCAGCAGGATGTGTAGTGGAGCAAGTTTTTTTGTATCTACCTGTAGTTGTGCTTCTTGGTGTCATTAAACTCTTTTTGCCAGTTTAGCAAAGTTTTAATACTTGTCATTCATTTTTTCAGCAAATATCAAATTGTCATGGTTTATTTAGCCAGTTAAATGTAGTGTAAAATGATGGAAGATTACTAATGAAAATAGGAATCTGATGCATTATCTTGTGGGGTAGTGAGCTGCAGTTGTCTGTAATTTTCCAAAGCGTTTGTTAAATATTGAACTCGTGCTTACCCTATGTAATATTTTTTTCTTACCATAATTTTTCTTCATCATATATTTATACTAATGAAATTTATCAAATTTTTTTGCAGAAAGTTAATCGTAAACTACACTTGAGCAAAACCAAACACAGCAAGTTTAATGAATCTGGACAACTCTTGATATTTACTGCTGTTTCTGCTGCTTGGGGCATGAACATACTAGTGAAGTAAGTGTCCACATGCTCTAGGAAGTTTGATTGTTTTTTGTAACTAAAGAAAAATTTGGATTATACTCCAGTCTTGTATTAATACAGTTGCATATTTTGGTATACAAGAAACTTATTTTTTTATATATTACGAAGAGAGAGATTCAATATTGCTGTAATTCTCTGATGGGAAATAGCGTGACTGTCCAAAACATAGTTTCAACATTCTTAAATGATGTTGACAATATTTTATAAAAAATAAGTTGTTGTAAATATCTGATATGTGTATTAGACTTTTCAGTGTTGAATTCTGGGCATCTTAGTGTGCTATTATATGGGTGGAGTTAATGAAATAGAAATGAATACAAGTCAGTGTTGATGTACAGGTACACGACCGATTTTCCGGCACCCTTGGTTCCAAAGCCTTGCCGGATTATCCGTTTTTCCGGACCAGCCGAAGTCATGTAATAATAATTCAACAGTACACCTCTGACCCACTAATTATACACCTCTTGTGTCTCTAAAGCACCATGGACTGATAGAAACTCAAGTTAAACAAATGTTAAATGTAAATTGAATGTGAAAAAGCCATAATAGTGAGCAACATATTACTGAACACACTTTTTACTCAAATGTACTACACTGAAGGACTAAAATTTTTACCTCTTGTGCAAACTATATGATATTTATACTCAAATTATTCGGTATCTGGCAAGGATTCCAGCAATGCAAGTTATATGTGGCAAAGTTTAGTCTGTGATATTTTATAAGATAAAAACTTTAAGCCTAGAACTACCTTCACCCAGGCTGGGAGAGAGGGAGGGAAGTTAAGTGCCCTTTCGTTATTTTGCCCGGACTAAAGGAGGTGCCGGACCATCAGCTCCCGTAAAATCGTTGGTGTACCTGTAGCACATATGGGATGCATGTAAGATTTTGGGGGGTTGAGGAAACCATAACATTTAAAAAGTATTGACTCTGATTGTCTACATACTTACCAAATAATTTTTTTGCAATTGTAATGTTTTGTCATCTTGATTTTAATCAAAGCTATTTTATTTTAGAGATAATCTAATGGTGGACATCACTTCACTCTGGGCCAACTACCCCAATGGTCATGCCCAAATGTCCTTCATGCTGAAATTTTTCTTCATCATCCAGATGTCTTATTGGCTGCACTGTTATCCAGAACTTTACTTCCAGAAGGTGAACATTTTTATTGATTTATTCTTTGTCACTTGTCATTTATTTCTTCCTTTAAACTTTATTCAATAAATAAAAAAAATACTTCATCATTTATTGAAAACCCACATTAGCCAAAGGCTGAAAATATACAATGGGCAGAAAGGATATACTGTATCACATTTTTCAAGTGGGCTGAATAACAAAAGCTTGTTTTTGTATAGTACAATAGTTTTATTAATGAATAGCTTGTTGAGGTGCATAATGGAACAGGTGACCTCCCATCACCAGAATAGTGGTATAAAGAATTAGATGATTGGGTTGACCTAATGTCTGGATGTTAAATGTGCTTCACCATGATTCTCTTCATATCATTCTGGGGTTAACTTCTAGGAGATAAGAAGATATTGAAGGTACAATTTAGTATCTTTGGAGTTTATTTGATGACATGGAGGACTTACAGATTGGCTGACCTAGGGGTTCAATCTAGCTACATTTAATTTCATATATTCTTTAACATAATACATGCATTTTACCTCGATACCTTGCTCTTTATCCCACTTACTTATAGTCCATCCTTCTATCTTTTTAGTTATTCTCCTCCCCCTCTTCTTCTTCCTCCTATTTTTTTTTAAATATTCAATATTAATACTGTCCCATTCTTTTACTTCTCATCCTCTCTCATGTCCATGTCTTCTGAGGGGACTGTTTCTGTAACTACCACATATCTTCTTTTGTATGTTTTATTCTCACCATCCAATATTGCTTGCATATTGCCCTCAGGCATGTTATGTCTGGTGCATTTAATGTGTTCCTTACCTCTTGCATTCAGAGTTCATGTTTCACACCCGTTTCATGACACAGGCTTAACAGTTACTCTATATGCCAGTATAGTATCGGAGTGTAGAGGGATGTTCAGTTACGGGAAGGCGTAAGAGATGGAATATATCACTGTTGAATATTGGGAAATGCTTTGATTATAATCAGCCTGAAATGTGCCATCTATGAATTGGTACAGTACTATAATGGTATTTTTGGCAGACACAAATGATGGTGTAAGCAGTTTGGGAGCCTGTACAATTATATTCATGGTAATTGTAGTAGGAGTTGTAGATCACTGTTTGTGAAGTAAGAGGTAACAGCTTAATAGAGGGAACATGAAACTGGACAGAATGTGTTTCTTTGCAATATTTCCTCACACAGGTAATTCTTTTTTCAGACTAAACGTGAGGAAATGTCGGCAAAAATTCAGCATGCTTCACTTTATCTGATCTTTTGTGTTGCTGCTTATGTATTAAAGTAAGTTTTAACACTTCAATTATTTGAGAAGTTTCTGCAGTAATATATGAGAAATTAAAGAAAAATTTAGATTTTTTTAGTTCAACAATGTGTTACGTCATATCAGTAAAAAAATGTTTCTGGATTGCAGCTTCAGTCGTGTGGCACTGGTTTTGTTAACTTTGAGGTTTGTGGAGGAGGGACTCCTTCATGTGTGCCGGCTCCTTTACTTTGCTGAGAGAAATGCTGCTGCCAACACTGGTAGGTTTTTCCCCTTTTCATTGATTTTTGTACACATACAGTAGTATGTTAATAAAAAGTTTGAATTTCCTATCTAGGGTAATCTTGGACAGGTTTTACAAAGATTTGGAATTATTCTCAACCTCAGTGGTTAAGATCCAACCTGACGTGGTCAAGTGGGGTCAGCCCATGAACACCCTTTGCTACAATGACCATGGGTCCTTGAAATGTTGTTTAGTAATGTATCATTGGAATAGGAAGAAGGCAAAGACTCAAAATATAAAGCTGTCAACATGTCAGATGTTGATAGGCTTATGTTATATCTCACCATCTTGGAAAATAGAAAGACTTACCAGAAGCTGACAATTTAAATTTATAGTTAGTATCCTAGAAATTTTTGATTGAATTCTTTTTTGGATGCTTTGTGTTTTACAGGTTTTCGTGTGTGGAATGTGCTGTTTGTGGCATGCCGACTGGCCAGCATCATTGTTGCTATATTAACTTTCCACTATGGCCTAGCCACAAATGATGACCAGTCACTTGATACCCTGACAGGAAATTTCAACACACCATTTATAAGGTATGAACACAAAGTAGTTTTAAGATTTAAATGTATTTCAGCCTGTATAATTGGCAAATGTCATCAATGTTTTATGGCCATTTTTCACCTTTGCACGGGTTCATATGAGTGCAGAAATTAGAAATTAAATAACAGGACATGTTTAGCCCTCATTCAGTCTACACACACACACACACACACACACATGATAATTTGGCACACTTAGGGCTCTAGCTTTACAGAAATACTGAATTAGTCCTAATTTCTGCATTTTTGCACGGAACCCTTTTGTAAAACGGAATGAATGTAATATAATTCTATTTTATACATTTTTCCCTGTATTAATTTGTGTACTTTTTGTGTTTGGATTTTTACCTTAATTTGTGTGATACAGCCTGAAACTCGGAACTTTTGATCATGCAAAAGACCCATAAAAATTTAACGTTTGAATGTATTGAAAAACTTTATTTTGAGCTAAACCAGCCCAGTCTAAACTGGCCCAGCCTAACCTAACTTAAACTAAACTAAGGTTGCTTTCACACTGAGGCCAGAATGGACGTATTCTTACACAAATTAACCGACCAAGTGAGTCACGTTAACAACACATATCTCGCACTATATTAGAATCTTTCAAATTTTTATCCTAGAGAAGATAGTTTCCCTGTCCCTAGAAAGACAGCTAGTCATGTAACAGGTATTAGCATCAGAATATTAGATTCCGTCCTTAGTGTGAAAGCACCCTAACCCAAACTAACCTAACCAAACTAATCCAACTTAAACTAACTCAACCTAACCTAAATTAACCCAACCTATTACAGGAATACCTAAACTAATCCAACCCAAACTAACCTCACCCAACCCAACCTCGCCCAATTAAAGTAGAGTACAGACTATTTTTTTGGGTGGTAGGAGAGAGAAATCCTTCCTGACATATATGCACAATTAGGGCTGGGGAGTGGCAGCCAGCATCCATGTTGGGCTTCCTGTACAATAACTTTCCCCCCATCATTTTTAGAGTCCAGTACAAGTATTTGGGTTATCTGTTCTCTTCTTTTTTCTTCTTGTCTCTTTCAAAATAGTGGATGAAATGAGCTCTGATTTGATCTTTAATAATCCTGTGTAAAACATACTATTGGTCTATATTACTTTAATATGTAAATTGTCGATTATTCCTCAGATTGATAGACAAATTTGTGTTTTCTTGGTGCACCTGATGTTTATTGTTGTCTTTTGCAGGTTAAATGCTCTGGTGGCAGTTTGTCTGATACAGGCCTGGATGATGTGGAATTTCATCCATTTCCATCTGAGGAGAATGAGGGAACGGCAGGCAGAAGCCATGGCAATACGCAAAAAGGCTGCTGAGAAGAAGACCAAGAGAGGCAGGAAAGATGACTGTAAGTTGACAAAATTACTCCTTAAATCATATGCTTTTCATGTGTGTAAATTTTAGTAATTGCATGAATGGATCACTAATCCTTGCAGCCTTTGATATAAAGTATGTGCTGGATGAATTGAGAACTAGCACGATATACAGTTGTATATTGACATTATCTACTGTAGGTACTAGAGGTACGTTGCTAATGTAAGTAGGACGTGTTGGTGTTTCAGCAAAACGCAACTCGGAGGAGGATGTGAGTGAGCTGCCAGAAGTGGACCAGCAGACACGCAGACGCAAGTGAGACCATTAAGAAAATGGCAGCAATGGAGGAAACTTAATTATAGATAACAGGATGTTCTGTTGTTGACAAGTGATAAAGGATGGGGAACTTGTTATTTCCTATGTTTAGACTAACATCAGTATTAGGCTGTTACATAATAAAAAAGATAGTTTTCTTTTATAATGTCATAATTTTGTTCTAGCTCTCTGATGATACCTAAGATAAAACTTTTGATCTACTTTTTAGTTACATTTGATTAATTAATTAAAAGGCCATTACAAGATTTTTTAGGAGAGTCACAGTAGTCTTGCCTGCAACTATATTAATGAGCAACATGAAATAGATGTGCATTCTTGCTACCATGATAACAATTGTTAGATTGATTACTTGCTTAGCTGTAGATGGAACTTGAAGTGCAAGAGATGTAGTTAAGGAAAGGTATGTATATTTTTTATAGCTGTTTGAATAGTGGTTATTGGCAGCAGCAAGACAGGTTGTGAAAATAATTAAAAAATTTCCCTCCACTGTATAAAGTATACTTGCCCATAAGTTGGACCTTGCTTCATTCGCACAATTCATAATACTCTGTACATTTTAGCGTTTCCTGTTATAAGTGTGTAAGTGGTGAAAACTATAAAAAGTTGGCTACCACTTTGAATCTCTCCGTTCCGAGTATAGTCAAAAGGATTAATTCCTGACCTAATGAAGGTAGTTGAGCATTCCATATATGTTATGAACTAGTTTATACTGATAGACAACTTCTGTACTGGAGTAATTGACACAAATTTGATGGGTACTGTCAGTCCAGTGTGCACAAAGATTTTATATAATCACTGGTCAAGTAGTCATTAAGGAACTACTCTATTCCATTTGTAAACTGTACACTTGTGCAGATTGGTGTTTTGAATGATTGCACATGGAGTCTTTGTAAATAAGAGCCACAGGTTGGTGACTATGGACAAGTTTTGCAAGATGCTAAAATAGCATTTGTAAATACATCAGTAGCTTTTATTATACAGTACTGTACTTTTTTCCCCACATTTCATAATGTCTTGCCAAGACATGAGCTGCAAGCACAATAATGTATATTTCCTTTTTGTCCATTCGTTCTGTACTCGAGATATGTTTGTATGTTTTACACAACTTGCTTAAGGATTTCTGATGTGTAGTGTGTGTGTAGTGTTATAACTTGTAAAATTGGTCTGGTAATACTAGTTTTTATATCGACATTTGAGTAGTGATAGGTACTGGTGTTGCAGCTCGTCTTGTCTCATTGAGGTGTTAGTAGCTTGACCTAGGTTTACATTCTGCTTTTTTATTTTTTTATTTATCTTTTGACATGGTAAATGGAATGGTGTTCTCTGACCAAACTATTTCCTAGTTTATCTGATAATAGATTATGTTGAATATTAGGATAATATGTACAGTATATGGAACTACTGTACAATATCTGAATTTCAGGTATACGGTACATTTTGTAAAAAAAAATTATAATTTCCTTTAGACGTCCACCACATACAAAGGAATCGGGTGTAACAGCTTGCAGATGTTTTAAGAGTTTTATGCTAATATTATGATGGTTTATCACGGTCTGGGTGTTCATGTGTGTGACTTCCACAAGAGAATTACTATGAAAACCTTTTTGCCCAATAAATGGTTGATTACTGTATGACTTTCCTTTACCACCAAGATTTTGAATATCCTTAAGCTATATTAATTCTAGTCTTTTAGTTTTTACAAAATTTCTTGTAATGAAAAGGGAAAAAGCATTGTTACAAGCAACCATCATTGTTAAATTGACAGTGAGATGGGGATTATCAATTAGTGTGTGGAAAATGCTTTGTGAATCCATAGCTCATTGGCAGTTTTAAATTGTTCAGTGAAGGCTCTGAGTTTGTCATGGCAGGAGTGCAGGTCTGGGTTTCCTGTTTGTAAACTAAGGCCAATAAACTTTTGGTACTAAAATGAGGACTTGGGTGTTCTTGCCAATGGTGTGACTATATTAACTAGTAAGTATCAAACTAATGGAGAACTGTAATGGGGTTTAATAATATGAATTTCAGTACGAAGTATATTTTTGCAGTAACTTATAACTACAGGGCTGTACAGTAGTTGATTTTTTTTTAAATATAAGTACAGTACATGTACTGACGAGTATCATTAATGTTTAACAATACTGTATTGGCAAAAATTACTTTTCACTGATGGATGTTTAACTCCTAAAACAGTAGTAACAAGGAACCCCCTGACTAGTTGGCAGAAGGAATTAACCTCTTCTTTACCTTTTTAGGGAACCTAACTAGTGAGAAAACAAGCAAAGGGTAAAAGAATTAATGAACCATTATCATGGTCGGAAGTCCCACGCCATACCCTCTGTCATCACGGATTTCCCCAGTCGAGTTGCTTGTAGCAGGTTGGGTAAGAATGAGGTGTAGAAGGGGGGACTGAAAGCGGATTATTACTTGATGGGCTCAATGCTTAGAGAAGATGCCAGACACTGAAAGTTTACTCCAAAAGCGTGAATTTATTGTGACTTCGACGGTAAATATTCTTAATTTTCAATTTTTTTTTCACTCTTGAAAGTTAATGTTTTCAAGCAGTTATATCTTTACAGACATTAAATCCCGCATTAGAGTGAGCCAGAACTTCGTAGCCTTAAGTTATGTATGGATCTACTTACGATATATCCTTATTAACCGTACATTATAATTTATATGAGCCAATGAGCTGTAAAGGGGGCGGGAGGCGTCTTAGCTTATTTACAGCCAGTTAAAAAAAACGACTGTACAGTCGCATTCCTATAAAAAAGATAACATTATATATACAGTATAAGTTGAAGGGTAATGGAACTTATTAAGCACCCTGTAAATTTGCTTTACAAGTGACCTAATCACCTGAAAAGTGTCACTTACCCCCCCTCACCAACTCATTTACTTTCCCTTTGGTCACTTGGCCATTTATCTGTTGCCCACGAGCTGTCATGAATTGTTCCAAGACACTGGATCCATAGGGCTCGTTAACTTAGGTGTGATTGTTGCGTTGGTAGCAGCTTCTGCACCTGCAACAAATTCACGTTTAAGTGAATTTAATGGTCAGCCAGCTTCAAAGACGAGGGGCAACTATTATTTAAAGTCTGGTTGTTATTAACTACGCCCACTCGTGGTGTCGTAGGAAGTTCATGTTAATGCCACTAAAACACGTCAAATATTTTACGCATTACGGCATGTAATTATGATAAGTATTTCATGTGCATGGTGCAACCGAATTATTGGGAAAATGGATTATCGATGTAAGCGAACACGAGTTGTGGTTCATTTGATACTTCTAGATGATAAAGTCTTTTAACTGTGTATGCCAGGAAAGTTTTCCAGTCATTTTTTGGTAGTTAGGAAATCAAATTTTCGCTTAAATTCAAGGAAACAGTGAGTAAGTCAGACAACATTGAACGCAAGGATGTAATTATTCCATTACTGTACAGTTATTGCCAACAACTTTTACAGCTGCATTTCCTTTTAGATTATTTAAGTTAATAACAAGGTATTTACGACTAAAGTCTGTTATCATCAGACTAATGTACCCAGTCACAAGGGTATAACCACAGTGTGGAGACAGATCAGCTGTAATCAGTAAGCGTAATGCCTCAGTCCGGAAGAGAAATTAGAGAATCTATGGCATCCAGTACCAGTGTAGTCTGCTGTCAATAGATATTAAAAAGAAAACGAGAACTCAATTCAACACCACTAAAATATTGCTTAAAGTGTCCAAGTCTATTAAAATCTTTTATTATAAGTAGTTGACACCGTGTTGGCCGTCACTATTGATCGACCGGTGTGTATGGTTTAGCCGTTTATTGTGAGAATCGAAGCAGCGCCAGCCGCAGGAGCCGAGGAGGGTCAGTCCTTGTCGCAATGGTTTGGGGATTTGTGACGTGTGGGCCAAACGAGGCCCTCGTTATATCAGGTAAGAATGTAATCAAAACCACGAGCAATTTTCCATGAGTATTTAGTGTATGGATTCTGAACATTACTGAGGAAGACCGACAAGTGAACAGTGTTATTAATAAAGGGAGTGTAAACACACCTTGGCTCCGCCCAGTCTCGGGATATAACTTTCATTATCTTCAGGCTCTTATGTCTTAACAACCTTATCTCTCATATTCACTATTACTAGGATATGACACAAGGTTTAGGTGGTTAGTTTAACTTTGCCAGTTTATAATAAGGCTGTTCTATATTGAATGGATATCTGCCAAGATTTTGTCTGTTGGTGAAGGGTAGTTAACATTATGGTTGATTAATCATTTGCTGCATAATTATGTAATGTATTTTATTTATATTAACGTGGTTTATTAAAATGTCATAATATTGAAGGGAGGTATTAAGTGAACTCGTGCGAGTGTCCTTGTACGCTTAAATCAGCTCTATTTAAGGCTCACTCTAGGCAAGGTAATTATGAACTCCAATACTGTAATCAATTTAAATATATTAGTTAATGTTTTTCCAGCAATAATAGAATAAATGGAAACTCAAAACACATGACAGTATTTTTGTCGGTAACAATGGACGAAATGATTATCACCGGCAGGAACCTACGGAATTTGCATGAAACTAAATAAGAAAATGAAAATAACTGTGAGAAAGATTTAGGAGTAATGATAAGTAGGAATCTTAAACCAAGTCAACAGTGTGTATTTGCTCGAAACAAGGCTAACAAAGTACTTGGGTTCATACAAAGGAGTGTTAGTTACAAGACTAGCGAGGTTATACTAAAACTATATCTTGCGCTTGTGAGACCTTACTTGGATTACGCAGTTCAGTTCTGGTCACCGTACTGCTAAAGAATGGGTATAGAATCCCTAGAAAGAATTCAGAGGAGAATGACAAGACTAATCCCGAACATTAGGAACTTGAAATCAGAGGGTGCTGGACAACTCGTACCCAACCAAATTGTACCCATCAGAACATGCCAACTCGTACGTCACACAGGGAAAAGGGAAACAATATGGTATAGATATATAGATGATGTTCTTTGTCTTTGGCCTAGAAACAGTGACCCACTGGAATTTTTAGACAGGCTTAATGATCTTGTCCCTAGTATTACATTCAAAATTGAAAGATAAATAAATGGATCCCTTCCATTTCTTAATATGCTTATCATTAGAAATGGTCATAACTATAAATTTAAGGTGTACAGAAAGCCTACACAGGTAGACAGTTTCATACATTTTGTATCGAGTCACCTAGAGTCTTCCAAAATGTCAGTTTTTTCTGCTATGTTTTTTGAGATGTTTGCGTATTTGTGACGCTGAATTTATTGATGAAGAACTGAAACACATTCGTTCCATTGCACAATAACTTGGGTACCCTTCATTGTTTGTTGATCATTGTTTTAAAAGGGCTAAAAAAATCCTTTCATTCTACTCAAACCAGGCAAATTCCTACACTTAAGAATATTTTGACTGCCTTATCGCAATGAATTTGTCCTGTTAGTTCAGTCCCTTAAATTATTAAATATTAATGTTGTTTTTAAGTATGACTCAACCATTACAGTACCAATATATTAATCAAGAACAGCCCAACCTTGAATGTAAATGGAAGTGTTTACTGCATTCCATATAGCAACTGTAATGGAAATTATGCAGGACAGACTGGGAAAGCATTACAACTCAGAATTTAACAGCACAAATACAATATCAGAACAGCATCTGAAAGCAGTGCACTGTTCGTTCATGTTAGGAATAATAATCATCCCATGGATTGGGAAAACAGCTTAGAAGTGTACAAATCATAATGTGTCACAGAAAGTATATGCTGATAACCACAAGGAAACAAGAAAACATGAAGTTCCCAAGCGCTTTCGTGTAATTCACATCTTCAGGGGTGAGTACAAACTAAGGAGTAATACTTGACAAGGCTAATATATACAGTAGAGGAGAATGAGATCAGGTCCCTAGGGGACAGCAGGTGTCCACAATGTTCCGGTCATAAGGCAGTGACCCAACCCTTACTAATCTTCTTAATAAAAAAATTGACCATGCCATCTCTAAGCACAGTTCTTGAGCCTCTCTTTGCCCCAGTATGGGCCAATAGGCTCGCAGTTTCCTCCATTCTTATCTTCTTATGTAAATCCTGACCTTACCTAACCTACCTAACCAACCTTACCTAACCTACCTAACCAACCTTACCTCACCTTACCTAATCAACCTGACCTAATCAACCTGACCTTACCTAACCAACCTAACCTTAACTAACCATACCTAACCAACCTAACCTAACCCAACCCAGCTAACCTAACCTTACCTAACCAACCCATCCTTACCAATCAACCTAACCTTACATAACCAACTTAACTGTACCTAACCATCCTAACCTAACCTAACTTACAGTAACTTTCTAACTAGGAAGCTCTGCCCCCTGGACACCCCTCCACTTCAAGTTAACCAGGGGGCATAGTGCCCTGGACCCCTGTAGTATTACCTTAATATTAAGGTGGGTCGAGTACAGCGATGGCATTCAACTGTTTAATTTAAACAAATCTTTTTCCTTTAACATGTGTTCCATGCTGCAGTATGGATACTTTCATGTCCATGATCATATATTAAGGCCCTTACACGGTCTTGATATATATTTATATATATCTGTATTGTACTGTATACAGTATATTTAAAAAAAAAAATATTATATTTTCAAATATTAATTTTTGACAATGGTTTCATAATACAGTACTGTATTGAGGATGTGAAAAAAACCCAGCTTTTGTTCTTTTACATAAATTCCTGATACAGTACTCTAGACCATAATTAAGGAGTGCAAGCAAAGTTCTCTATTATCAACCGTTGTTTAGAGCTTTCACAGTACAGTATTACTCAACTTGGACAATAAATACTGTACTGTACAGTACCTGTATATAAAAAAATATTGGACTCGTCTAACCGAAATGGACCACATATCGTTGTCAAACTTAGGCCATTCTTGCTAAATGCAGACATGACTCGATATTTTTTGTTTGCTGTAGCTTTCAGCTTAATTTTGTTTTGGACTGACTGACTTTGAGATTGGTTGTTTTGTTTTCTTACAGAATGTTTGATTGTATCTCTCCATAAATATACTGTAGAGTACATGGATTAATTAGTCAGACAGTGAACCAGTGTTGTGTATTATTGATCATACTACTGAATTACAGTATGTTACTGTTAACAAACATTGGTGAATTACTGGTAATGTTGTCTACTAAGTCACATTGTTTAGTGTAGGCAGGAAATGACTTTCCATTCTCACGGCTGTAATTTGATGACTATGGTATGTTGATTGTGTCTTTCTTTGCTTTGTCTTTATGGTTTGACGATGAAATTTTCTTATTTCTGTGTTTGAGGGTCATTGTGGCTCAGGTGACAATATGGAATACCTACTGGTATTTCATTATGTACAGAAGATTGGTACATACAGTATCCTCAAAAAAGAATCTTAATACGTAGTTGCTGTCTAGTGTATGACCTTAATATACCTTTACAGTACATGATTAAACATATTCACTTTTGTTTTGCATGAATACACATAATATCTGCTGATTCTTATCTTTATGGAGAGATGCACTTTTCAACAAAGAGTAGTAGATCATGAAGCTTAACTCCTATGGATGTGGATCCCGGGAGATAGAGATGAACCCAAGGAGTCTAGTGAATTTACTGTGTAATGAGTGTTGGAGATCAGCCTCCCATGAACAGTGAATTACATTTATTGAGTACAGTAGACCCTCAGTGTATGGGATAATAGGACCAAGAATAGCTACGAAATAACTAATCACTATACTGTACATTGGTCTATGGACAGTATAACAAGTTACTGATTTACTTCATAGACGCGTTCCAAAAAAGTGCAACATCATTCAGAAATTCATTATTCAGACACTATTCCCATGGAACATTTTTGGTCACCCTAACTAACCTTTTCAGTGAACTTCAAACAGTGAAGCCTCTCATTATCATGAACCAGAGCAAACTACTGTACTAAGTTAAAGAGTTATATGGTACTGAATGTTAAAGTGGTACAGTATATGACATATTACTGTACTGTATTGTGAAGGTATAAAATAAATGAAGTTTTCAGTCATCCTAACCTAACTTTTTTGCATGACTTCATACAGTAGAGCTTGTCATTATGCATGAACCAAAGCAGACGACTAACTTTGTGTTTTAATACCATACTAAAGTTCTGTACAGGTTAAAGGTAAATGTCATCTGTGAGTAAACACTTATTAAACAAATAATAAAAGAGAAAATACAGTATATCACCGAGTTGTTAGTCTTATTGAGGAGTTGTGGACTAAGGTTAGAAGTCTTAGGGGAAGTGTTACATGTGGGACAATTACTCTAGGTAAATACAGTACAATATAGTATAGGAGTTCTTTGATTACCTAAATGTGGAAACGAGTGTCATCATATTCAGTTGGAAAAATCTTAATCCTTTTGTAGTTCTCAAGATTACTACATTAAATTTTTCTATGATCGGTAGTTGTCATTTTTAGTCTTTATTTTTACAGTAGTACATAATTGTCTCTTTATGATCTTGTGAAGTGCGACTAGAAATTGGTGATCATTAAGTATGCTAATTGTCTCTGCATTAAAAATTTAACTTTCCATGGATTTTCATTACCAGGTACTTGTACCTGTACTGTATTGAGTACAGTTCTGTAGGCAGTTTTTATTTAGTATTGCTCATTTATGTCACTGGGAAGACTATTTAAAAATAAAGTTAAGCAGTACAGTACAGCAAAGCTGGCAAGACTCCTGTACTACAAGAGCTGTGGTTTATTAATTCTAAAATTGATTTTAACAGCATTTTCTTATTTTAGGTAATTCTGATTGACTTGAAAGAATATCTCTCGATTACTCGATCATTTTTGTTAACTAACCAGTATTATCTTAGGATATTCTTACTTAACTACAGTACTGTATTTTTATT